GAAATCAATTTGTTAGAAATAAACGTAATTTTTTTTTTGATAATCAAAATGAGACGTCAACCATAGGTCAACACTTTGGGCCTTGTCTCCCAAGGTAAATGGAAAAGCACGACACATTATGGCATCTCATGCTCCTTATAGTTCCATCCAGGAAGTGTCTTTGTCCAATTGGCTGAGAAGATCTCATTCTCTTTTGTACACAGTCAAATGTGGCATTTTAAGCTTCTTGGGCAGGGGTTCAGGAAGGATATCTTCAGTGAAGGGAGAATGGCGTTTTGTGAGATATTCTTCCATGTTTCCTTTGTCCTTAGCTTCCAGGTCAGTAATACATTTTTTCAAGGCACTCATTTCGAGCTCTAGTCGTTCCACTGAGTGTTTAATATAGGGTTTATCATGTCTACTCACAGGTGTTATGAAGTGTTGATAACCTAATCTATCAAATACACTATTGGTTCTCCTAGTGGCTGGCTTCATCGTTATAGGAGAGTTCCTGATTTCTTCAATTTGGCTTTTGGAGGATTCTTCGCCTGAGAACTGGAGTCCTTCTGGTTGGAGGTCGTCTAATTCTTTCCCAGTAGGGAGATTCCATCTCGGTGTCTTGTGGTGGAATGTGAATTTGGTTTCATTCCAACCTATTGACAACGTTTGTCAACTTTTCAATGGCTTCTTTCATTGCAGTCATTTGAGGATCGATAGTTTCGTCTTGACCTCGTCTTCTTCCAACGTTTTGTAGATTACTGGTTCGTTCGGGATGAGTATGAATTGATTTCCAGATGTTGAAAAATCATCCATGGTGATATTTCTTCATGAATTTACAAGTTAGGGGCCCTCCTTTTAACGCCAAACTGTTGACGTTGTAAATTGTATGAGTAAAATTCAAGCCAACTTAGGATGTAAACAAGAGTTTCCTTTATTATAAGTCATAGATTAGAAGAATCATATACCAATAATCCCTTCTCTCTTTGAATGTGCTATTTGAAATATGAAATGTATGAGTATTTTCAGTAAAAGTGCCGTTGTTTCCTTTTCTTCCTCTTTTTCCTATTATAGGAAGAAATTTGCATGTATCCTTCATTTCCCATCTTATCAGCTACAGTACTGAACTGAGAAAGTACGCTACTGGCATGTTTGGATTGGTTAACGAGCTCGACTTGTCAGGTCATCATGAGTTTAACCTTACAGGTGGTCCCCAACAATTAATGAATTACTTAGGGAAGGAAGCTAAAGCATATGATTGATAGACTTGGCGGGCACTGATGTAAGATCGTCCATATGTCACTTACTGATTGACTGTAACTACAACGTGTAAAAAATCTTCAATCATTATGTTCCCTTGGGCCTCGATAGACTACATAATCTGAACTGACCTCATATACCGAACTCACATTAGCACAGGCTTATCGTATACACCAAACTGCACTTATCGACCTTGGAGGTCGGATGCCAACACACTTATTTCTATGGCGGTAAATATCATTTAAGGATAATGATTCATAATCGTGTTCAAACCTTTCATTGGTGGATTATTCTTGTTGCTTGTTTTCTTTGTTCTTCATTAACTTTTGAATAACATAAGTTTACAAGTCAAACATTGTAGAATAATTTCGAGCGAGCAAGTACAAGTGAATAGAAAATTTTGATTAGATTTCTTGGATCAGATAGATAGCATTACTCTTATAGAATGGATTGTGTTTATAAGAAAATATTTTGTAATTTCAGCTTCCATGAAAAGGCCGTAGAAAGCTCATTTTATAGTTGTCAGACATGTCCTTTGATTGAGTTTTATTCGACTGAAGTAACAGATTTATGTTTAAACTGGACTTTTTGAGTAAAATATGATTTTTGTTTATGTATTCGTGAAGACAAAAACTTTATCTTGCTGGTAAAACTTATTCATGACATTGTAGTTATACAACAACAAAAACTCTAGTACCTCAAGATTTAATACACACAATTTTAGGGTAATGTCATTTGTACACCTTTTTGTGTACACCATTGTTGACATTATCTAACTTGTCAACAAATGATTGGACCAAAAAACTGCATTGTTTTCAAACTATTTAATGAAGTGTTGTCACGTGGTAAAA